TGTTTTAAGATTACTATTAGTTCGTAACTCTGATCCATATAATGATGACATTAAATCATAATCAGAATGTGACGATGTCGAAGAAAATGATGAATTGAGACTATCAAGTGGACTCCATAGATGTGAAGGTTCTGATGATGATAAAGGTTTATTTAATAATGCATATGGTGCATAATGTGTTTGAGTGATCGCTGAATCGGAACTTCCGATTGTACTTTGATTATTATCGATCGATAAACGATTCTCTATATAAAAAAAGAAATATAAAGATTCAAATATATACTAAAAAATAATCTAAAATAGGTTGATTAACAAGAAAATCATTCGAAATAATACTTCGCATTTAAGATGAGACTTCAATCATTACTTAGAACCTGTTCAGAGTAATAGAAACCTTGAAGGATTTTTCTCAATGCTCTACCCTTTTGGAATTATGATTATTAAACTAGATTTTTACCTTTGACATCCTATTAATAAAAAAAACTAAACAAACGAGTTTCGACCTAAAACTTTGTCTATAGACAGCTCATGAAGTCATTAGATTCGTCTAAAACTTTCAGTCAAAAAGAATGATGTCTTTTTCAGACATCAAATTCATAAGTGTAACAGCCATAACTCCAAAAGAATAGAGCATGGGGAAGAATCCTTCTTCGTTTCTTCATATCTTAACAAGACATACGCGTTGATTGAAGTCTCACTTCAAACACAAGATATCATATTGGCTAATTCTTTTATAAGTTATCTATCTATTTACTGAATCCAAAACCAAATTTGAAACGTTCAATTACTAAGGGAAAAACTTTATTTGTATGTTGAGTTTGAAAAAAAAAAACAAATAATGCATTAAAATTTTACTGGACTATTTAATGGAGCAAAGATTAAAATAAATTACTTTTAAAGTTGTTTTTTTTTTCTTAGAGACTATGACCTATATGTTACATCTCATCAAACTTCTAAAAAACTTGTGATCGCAAACTCTTTAAAATTGTATTTTTAGCAGAAAAAAAATTTTTTTCTTTATAGAGAACATTTGTCTATTGATTCAAATCACGTAAAACAAAAACTTACTTTTACTATGTGTTTTTGAAGATACTTGTTCATTATCTTCATTGGCTTTTCTTTTCTTAGACATTGACATCTAAAAGAGAGATTTTTTTAAAAATTTGATCATAGTAACATAACTTTATTGATTCTTTCTTTGTGAAAACTCATCATTATCATCAAGAATAATAACAAGCATAATAAGAAAAAGAAAAGAATCTTCTTGAATAAATCTATAAATAAACGACAGTTTATGTCATTGAAAGATATACCTATAGTTTTCATTCTATGTGAGATACAAGACACAAGTAACAGAGAAATAAGAATTTTTCGTTTCTATTTCATAATAGATTTAAAAAAAAAAAAAGAAAAATTCAGTTCATATATTTTACATAGCTTCGTCATCCGATAATTCATCTTCATCCATCATCATACTACCAGCAATATTCGGTACAAATTGTCGACGAGAAACATTATTATTATTATTATTACCACTTGATGCACGTATTGAAGATAATGCTGAATCATCTTTAACCATTAAATTTGTTTTAATTATAGCTGAACGAAGTAAAAGTGCTCGAGTTAATTTTTCAGATTGTTTTGTTATTGTTAATGCATGTTGATATGCATGCCAACGTTGATCGGTATCAGCAACATATAAAATTTTATTTTTTGAATCAATACGTGCTTTGATTTTTCCCGAACGAATTAAATGAACAAGTTCATCTTCAAGTACATCCATTGTTGTATTGAGTTGACGTGCCATGATGGTCATACTAGCATTTTTATATGGTAAAAAATATGTTATTATTATTCGATGACGAATTTCATAATATAATGTACGTAAATGAGGTGCTAAATATTGATCTAATGCAAATATGGGTTCAAGTTGAGACATAACAGCTAAACAAGATGAATATGATGTTTCATAAAATTGATGAAGAATATCACGAATAGATGGTTCTAATTCAAGATATTGTTTCATATTTGTTGACATAATTATTAATCGATGTATTTCTGATCGTTCAAAAGTTGCTAAACTGCATAGACAAACATATTGAATTAATGTTTGAGGTGAGATAAGATCCTAAAGAAATATTTATTAAGTAAAAATATTAAAAACTTTCAAGACTAAAGTTGACAACAAAAAAAAAAATCTTGAAAAAGTATTTTATATGTTTTATTATTATAGGTTCCATTCTTTTCTTATTTAGGCATAACTGTCAAAAAACTTCAAAGACTCATGTTTTTTTTTTTTCATAGAAATAATATTTCAGAGTTTTTCAATCTTTTAGTATGCATTTGAGAAAAAAATATGTGGTGAGCAATTTAAAAAATCTAAAACAAATGAATCTCGTGAAGATTGTTTCATATATGTAGAAACAATTTCAACTGAAAATAATCTTACTTGAAAATGATTTGAACAATGATCAAATGAAACACCGAGAAAATGACGTGCTGCTAATTTATATCGTTTTGTTGCTAATTCTGCAATACCAGCATAAACTTTTAAACGTGATATTAATACTGCATCAGATGCAGTTGTTGCATTTGTAGTCGATACACTTGATACTTCCATTGGATTAACCATTGATGTTAAAACTGATGGTGTTGTTGTTGATTTTGAAGTAGATTCAAGACTTTCAATAGCTTGTTCAGCTTTACTAACATACGATAAAACATTCGACCAATTTTGCATATAAAATGATGCTTTTATAACATTCATACACATTGTTATCATATGTCTTGGTGTAACACAATAGTCTCGTGAACGTACATAACAACGAACAGCATTAAAAAAATCTCCAGCATCTAAATAATGGTCACCAAGATCATCATGACCACGACGTATTGAATCTTTAATTGAATTTGTACGAAAATTTCTCAAATCAGTATCAAGTTTTTCAAGTTTATGAACATAATTACGTTGTGTTCGTTCATACCATGCTGCATCAAAATCATTTGGTAATGGTATATTTTGTTTCTTAATTTCATCAAGTATCTAAAAACAAAAAAAAAACAGGCAAATATTTTAATTAAAATAAAAAAACAAACGAAAGTTTCTTGTTTTACTTGTTTATAAAGAGAAATAAAATGTGTTTCTTGTATATATTTAAAACTGGTTAAAAGAGCATCATTACGTAACATTGGACAATGATCAGCTACATATAATAAACGATAAATACGCATAAGACCAGTATATGATGATGTTATTGTTTCAAGTTCAAAATTAGTTGATGATATATCAACTTGATAATTTCCTTCATAAGATGATGTAATTGTATTTCCATTTGAACGTTGTTGTTGTGGAAAATTATTATTATTATTATCTCCACTTGCAGCACTTGTACTGCCAACAATATTTTGTGTATCCATTATCTGATTATGAACATTTGAGTCAAACTGTTTTGATAAAATCATTATCTGAAAATAAATAAAGAAAATAAGATATAAATCAATCAATTGATTGTTGAATCCATCGTTGAATTATATTAATTAATTCTTTTTCTTTGCCTATAAAACAATGATTAGCATCTGATACAATGATCATTTCGGTTTTTTTTGTATTTTTTAATTGCTCATTAAATAAATATATATCATCACCGGGAATAACATTATCTTGATCACCCCAAATATTCAAAACTTTTGCATGATGAATATTTTCAATTTGACTTAAATCAAGATTTTTTCGACGTTCTATAGCTTCTTTTGTTATACGAAAATTTCCATCATTATAGGTACATATTGTAAATGAACCATTTTTTTCAAGTTCATCTAATTGTTTTATAGAAAATCGTTCATTTATACCACGTTCAAGTCGATAACGTCCTGCTATATTGACAACAATTGGTATATCATCATAATATAGTGTATAAAGTAAAACCGTTGTCCCAGCTCGTGAATGTCCTATAAGAGCTCGAATAAAATATTTTTCACTTCTATTACGTAAATATTCAACAACACATCTTAGATCATCTTTAGCTTCATCTTCATATCCTCCATAGTTCCATTTATCACGTCCAGTTGATTCACCACAACCATGAAAATCAAAGCGAACTGAATGAAATTGATTTGTAGCCGAGTCTGATATATCACGAGATAATTGCGGAAGAAAAAGTGTATTTTTATTAGCCATATAACCATGACATATAATAACTACATGTTCTCTATTTTGATCATCAATATAGGGACAACGTTTACGATGAAAAATACAAGACAATTTATATTGATAGCGTGATGAAATAACCGTAAATGGTTCTTCAACAAAATCAGTCATTCTAAAATAGATTAAAGTTAGCAAAAAAGCGTTACAAGTAACGAAAACAATGAACAAATGAAATTCTATGTATTTTGTTTTTTTCCTCTAGTCGACATAGGTTTTCGGTAAAATATAGCTTGAATAATAGAACTTAACTTAGCTTATCATATAACATATCGATTCGTTGGTAATTTCAACATGTCAAATTGATGCAATCTTATGCAAACGACAGAGGTCGCAACAATACGAAATTGTACACGATTGAAACAATAAATTCGAAACTCAATCATAGGTTTCTATGCGTTAACTTTTTCTTTATATACAAATGTATTTGGATAATCGAACTATTTTGGAAGCGAATTAGATCATCTATTTTTAATGATTTCATCATAATTGTTGCAAAATTATTTTCGAAGTTCTATATCTGACGTATTTTTAAAGGCATGGATTGTTTTTTGGAGAATCTCTAATTTTCGAAATAAAACAAATACTTTATGATTATTGACAGATATTCTCAAAAAGTACAATCATATTTCTTTCTATCAAAGTTTTGTCATTTTAGTATACAGAGTTATTAGTTTACATCAGTGTTTCTGAAGATTTATATTGTGTTATGTTATTTTTTGGGTAAAAAGAATTACAATGTAGATTGAGGGTCATTTGCATGAAGTTTTATATCAAATATAACACTTTATTCATTTCAAATAATTTCGAGTTGTACATGTTCGAAGCCGTATTTATTCTTGTTATCGATAAATAATTGCTCGACTGCTTGAATATAATCATTATGAAGTTGATCAATATCACTGGAAGTCGGATAGTCAGTTTGAACGACATGAATTGGCTTACCAACTAAACATTTTTCTTCATTTTATAAATTTATCAAAAACTAATAATAGTTCATATTCTTACCGACAGTGATGACTCGACGCCGAAGTGGTATATGTCCCATCAATAGTTGACCCCAAGGAATACCGTTGGGTATCAATCGAAAAAAAGTACGTCGTTCATATAATTCATTTTCTCCAAACGATATAACAGGTACAATGGAAGCCCTAAAAATATGTCAAAACATGGAAAATTTTGTACAACTTAATCAATATCCAAGAAACAACAGATGTACCCATATTTTAATGCTAACTGAATGAACCCTTTTCTGGACTTCAAATAAAGTATCATCGTATCCTTCTGCGTCACTTTTACTTCACGTCGACCGCCAATAATAATGACCAATGCATTTCCTTGACTACACTTGCCACTCAATAGATACTCACAACTATTGCGTGATACACAACATGCACCTCAAAATGTAGTGAAAACATTATTGTCTGTGATTATATATTTAGAAAGAGTGCAAATTTTACCCAATCCAAGTAAAAGATCGCGTGTGAATGGATTGAAAAATTGTATTGGAAGAAGCATCAAATGTGGACGAATACCTGGAAATAAACTAGAGAAATTTGTTGCTTCTGTGCCGAAATTGCCCAGTGCTCCAACAGCCGCTACTCCATGTGGATGATAACCGAATATATAGTTTCGATTTGGATTGAGATCAGTACTTTTAATCAATGTAAGAGGAAAATATTGTACCCAATGTGTCCAAATTGAACATTGACGAAGCCAATTACACCATCGACCACCCTGTGAATTAGTGTGACGATCGATGTACAACCAACAACAATAGGCAAGCCAAAGTGAGATGATAGTTGTTGCAGACCAAAACCATGATAAAATAACAACAACTAATGGTACAATGATCGGTGAAAAAGCACAAAACGAGACAGTAGAACTGAGGACAAAAAATTGAAGCATTCCTTTAAAATCCATATCTAAAAGATGTATGATATAAAAAGACGAAACTATTTTAACTTTAAGAAATTCAACAAATCGACACGAAATCTAGGAGGCAAATCTTTGCCAGGATTTCCTGGTAGCAAGAAAGAAAAATAAAACGGCAATGAAATAGGAAAATGAAGACTGTGACAGTCAAAATTATCAAAATGCTCTTTTCAATCTATTCAGATTATTTTATTTCACTAATAATCTATACAATTACAGCTTGATGGTAACGAAAGTGAATTTAAGCATTAAAATAAATTAATAACACGATATTTGGAGACGAAGTCGTTGCTCATCTATATCATAGAATGACACGTGGAATCTCGAAAAAAATGGATTCGATCAATGATATAAAAGATGACCCAGATGTTTTCTATACTTGAATATTGTCACTTAGCCACTTATCATACTTGAGGACTTTGGCTGGCGATTCGTTTGACAATCACTATATTTATTAAATGCGTTATTTCAGTGAGATCATGATCGAAAATAAAATGGTTGATGTCACAATGATCATCAGCTACTCACTGTTAGATTATTCTCTTCAGATGATTAGTTACTCAATCTGTCAGCATAAAAAAAGAAGAAGATTTGCTCTTCTGTTCTACCTATCGACATTTTACGGAAAATATAGGACAAAGATGTCCCACGATGTCAGCATGCATGTGATTCTCGAATCAGGATAAGATCCGCACAAGAAACTCATCATCGATGTAGAAGAAAATGTTCCCCTTGTGCTAAGAAGAAGAGTTTCAAACTGAACGTGTCTGAACGTGCACCAGTCCGATTGGGATGTGTATGTCAGTGTAGATCTGACTGTCAGTGGGAATCTTTTATTCTTCTTCATACATCCATTCCCGTATTCACATCCAAAACGTGAGCTCTTGGTGAGTAGCATAGTATGCAGCATAACCTTATGTGCTTCATAGTTACAATTTTCTTTCCGTTCTATAAATCAAGTCTATGGGTCGATACGTTTTATTCATCTTCTGAATAAGAAAAATAACAAGTATTTTAAGCGCATATTCAACTGTTTATGCCAAAAAGTAACATTCGTATTGATTTTATTCATATGTTTACCGATTCTTGAGACGTGAATTAATATCAGCTACTGCTATAGTTCTCTTGTGTGTAGTTGCTCTGGTAGTATACAATACATTTTGTCATGATTTATTCTATGTATCTATCGGTAAACTCAGATAAACAAGCGTTGCCTGCTTGTCTATATCAAGTTTGAGAAAAAATATTTTCACTTGGTGATAGTTTCAAAATTAAAAATGAAATGGGTCAAGGCGTTTATATAGTTCGATCGAAACTCTTTTCAGTGGGTGATAAACTCGTTTTTGAATATATGGCTGGAAAGTAAATTAACTTGAGAAAATTATTCAAATTACTCGGTTTCCAAAACTTACGGTTTTCACAGAGTGTATCAATCCGTTATATGGCAAGCTTTAAGTGCCTGAAGAAAACGAAGAAAACGTGTTTTCTATCTGTTCTTCCCACATCCATTCATTTGATGTACGCTAGAAATAATTGTACTTAGTTTTGTGAAATACTCTATTTAGGATGATACACACATATCTTATTTAGCAATGTAGCCTATAAATAACAGTGATTCAACTTAGTCCACGACCTAACCAAAAGTGAAGTATTTAATCTATGTTCACGCTTTCGTATCGTTTTCCTATATGTTGTAACACGAGCTGTATAAGCGAAATTGAAGTTTTTTGCATCTTTTTTTGCAATATCAATACTTCGGAAATGGTATGTAAGATTGATTGATTTGAAAGCTTTTATTGCAGATAAATGACATAATCAAGTTATTTCACAAAGTATTAACAGATAAGAATCAACCACTGGAGACAGTTGAGTGAGAATATAGATCTTTTCTTTACACACATCTACATCAAGTTTCATTCAAGGTAAGATATGAGTTTTGCAAGAGCGGCACAAAAGAGTGTCAATTTCACTGATAGAGTACTGAGAAAAAAATTGAGTATCTCTGCAACAGAACATTATTTTTCCTACCGGTTAGTGTAGACGCTCATCAAAAATTTGTTTTGGTTGCATATGAAAAACTTATGCAAATCCGCTACTATTTAATGAAGTCCTCTCCTTTGGTTAGGTCGTGACTCACATGGAATGATTCATGAACTGTTTAAGAAGCTATTTGATAGAAACAGAGAATTCTACTGTTGTTTTATTTTCTATTAATAGTGGTGTGATTAAAATTCAACAAGAATTGCTTCATCTTCATTCAACTTACAAAGTACTATCCGTCCTTTATGAAGATTCAGATCGAGAATTAGTAGTCCTGAAAAAGAAATTCGCTTTCTTTCATCAAAGATTTAACATTGATTCTGTTTATGGTCAATATTCTTTAGAAGGTCTTGATATTTTTGCTCATTCATTTACATTGACAAAAGATGGAAGAACAGTGGCAATGGTGATAAAAACATTTTTTTTCATTATCTGATACTTATGGCGTTGAAATCACTGGTGAAGAAGATCAAGCATTCATTTTAGCACTTGTTATTATTCTTGATCAAGTTTTATATGACAACAATAATCGTCATGATAACTAAGAAATATGAAATATTCGTAGTTCTAAACTGAAACTGCTATACAGAAATACTTTTCGATTTCAATTTTATCCTTTTTTTCAATCTATCGTTTCTCACCCTTTTCTTTGCAACAAATAAAATCTAATGGTAAGAACTGTCTTATCATAATTTCTAACTAACGTGTGAATATGAGTAACGAAATGAACCACATCTACATCCATTATGGTAGAATTGAAAGTTGATTGAAATTTACTTCGCCATTCCGAACGGCATTGATGACAAATGAAATCGATTCACTGCGAACCTTCTGACTAATTATATGAATAGATTTACAATTGCAAAATTCTTCAACACAAAATTCTTCTCGAACAATGTCCATTTGAAACTAGACATCAAGAAAATGTTTGTTGAAAAATTCATCGTTGCTCAATAGGTCTTTGCATAAAAGATTTAGCTCGAAAAAGACACGTGATAATTGATTAGAATTATTTTTCTTTCAAATGCAAGCATCAAGTTGGAAAGAAAAGCTTATCATTACTTGACTTGATGTAAGGATCATCGAGGAAGCAAACATCAATGTATCGAGTTTTGATTAATCAAAAGATGTAGCTATCGATAATATGATAGATATTCTTGCTTTGTCTGGTCACGGAGATTGTTTTCTGATTTGGATCAGTTTCTACATTTTTTCTCTGTCAAAAGTCGAATAATTGAGTATGGTTCTGAAAAATCATGACCAATCGATTATCTTGTTGATCAAATAATTGACGCATCTCTTTTTATGACATTTCTCATTGAATGTCATTTTGTGAAAGTATTTGTTTCCAACTGAACTTGAAGTTGATCGATTGTTCAAACCATTCGACATAATCACACGAGACCCTCAAAAGGAAAATATTTTTCTTCTTTGAAACGAACCTTTCTGAGTAGCCATCAAATATTCGTCATGAATGTCACGATAAAATGTTCATTAAGACAACCAAACTTCACGACCAAGAGACTTTAGCCTTGTTAATTATTCATTTTTGTATTTACAGTTTTGTTATTTTTCTTAAGGCAGCTGCAATAGTGTCCTTTAAATGAACCATTACACCGTATGGGGTTAGTTTGGACACCGTTGCTAATAATAAATCAATATTAGACTTTGTTTTAGAGAATCTGAGTGTAGATGAATAGAACATCCTGACTTACACTCATATCCAACTCTCACGATGACATCCATATCCTTACTTTTTTATGATAGCAGACGATGAACGTCAAATCTTTGGCGATCATGCAACCAAATTTCCATTCTATTTGCACAAAAGAATCTTGATTGTTTCATCTTGAGACAATATTGACCAAGAGAAACACTTCGCATAACAACACACGTGAGAAAAGTATTGTTTTATCTTAACATAAAAGACAAGTGTTTCAAAATATATGTGACGAAGAGATATGAATTATAGTTGTCAAAGAAAGAAAATCGTTGAGTATTCGTAATAAATGTGTTGTATATATCGTCTGATTTTACTTGTTCTTGACTTTAGATGATATAAAGAAGAAAAATCTCTTAAGATAAAGGCAATGAAAGATAAGAAAGATACGCATTTTTCACATAAAGAAATTTTTTAGTGGGTAATAGTCGTATCAGAGCAATGCATCAATAATAGAAGTGAGGAAGACGAATCATCATCGACGATTGGTCAGATAAGGAAGTATTCGAATGATTGTAAGTATCAGAATTGATGGCTCGAATGAATATTTTACTCTGTCGAAAATTCATGAATTTTTCTTTCTACGCACAAAACGATGCACAAATTCTAGTACGATCGGAAATCGTGCGACTGAAAAAAAATGTAATACTATTTTCTATTGAAAAAATTTTCGATATCAATTTCAAACCCATCTTAATAGGTATTATTTTTTCTCAAGATATCACTGATAATTTTGGGGTTTGAATGACATATTTGAACGAGTCTTGAGCGATGACATAGTGTTTTTTATTTATGACTTGGAAGTTTTTTCTTAAAAAAACAAAACGTAGAATCATAAATTGAAAACTCCCGAAGTGATTGTTTGAAGAATTGTTGAAATAATGCTTAGCCTGTGTCTTTATATTATTAAGCAATTTATGGATGATGAAAGCAAATATAATTCATCTCTTTCAATTAATAGCAATGGTCATGTTACATTGTTTGCATGAATAAATTTGGATTATGAACGAGGCACATGATCCAAATTATCGTGCCAGTTACTGGTAGAACATGAATTTTAATCAGTATTGACGTATCCAGACAGTATTCATGTATGATTACAGGGAACCTGCCGTATTTCCTACTGTAACTTTAAGGTGGTGATGCGAACAACGTTCGTTAGCGAGATAAGTTACCTTCTCGGCGTACAACAGTAAACAAGTGTTTTTCAAAAATAAGTTTCCATTATTTAAAAATTATAGCTAGAGGAAAGTAAACTTGAATATTGAAATGTTTTGCTCTGTTATATGGTCAATATTTTTCTAAGTATTTCATATATGTATGCGCATGGAAAGATTAAAACTACATATTTACTGATTTATTTTTGACTTAAAGCAACAATCTTAAAGTTCATCGTTTGCTCTACCCATGTCAATATAGAATATCACTAAAAACACGTTTTGAAGCTTGACATCTTAAGATCGTTGTTCACAAGCTCATTTGACAGCCAAAATTCTTATTGATTGAAAACTTCTAGTACTAGAACATAGTGTTAGCATCAACAAATGTTATTCTATAAAACTCATTCTTTTGCTTTTTTGATGATTGATTTTTCTTATTCTTGTCAGATCATCTCCTGTAGGTTTTAGTAATGTTGTTTGTCCTATTCTTGTTGATTTTCTTCTTCTTAAAAATCATAACTATTATTATAATATTTTTGTTGGCTATTGATTATGTGTTTTATTTATTCAAAAAACTAAAAAATTAATAACTTTATTAATAAACTATATTCATATGTCATGGAAACAAGACACAGTAGTTATTTTTATGTGTACTCTCTCATTTTTGAATATACAAAACTCCATAGTTTATTTGTTATTGAATCCACGTCATTTACGGAGGCTACAGACTTTCATATATCATCAATTGATGGTTTCACATATAGTCTTTAGGCTTGCAATTTATCATTCCACTTTGTATTATAGAAGAAAAGAATAACTTAAATTCATTTGTAGATAAGTATTCTTTGCGAATAAGGATTCAATGGCTACCGGTGAGTCATTAATGGATAATTTACATTGATTTAAAAGATATTCATAATCCACATCGCTATCATCATGCAGGATCAAAGGCTGATGTAGACCAACCATCGGCTACAACGACAGAAGACAACAATGACGAGACTGATTCACTATCAATTATTCAGCAAAGTTTGTCGAATTAAATCCACTAATGACACATGGTTTGTTGTTGTGTTTTATTAGTGATGGAACGATTGCCAGGTTTACTCGGAGATATACTGCCAAGTGAGCAATCAGACGAGTCACCTGTACTGAAATCATTTGATTTGGCTGGCGCTGCCGAGTATATGACCCATTGTTCGAATGTTATCGTCATGTGTGGTGCCGGAATATCGACTAGTGCTGGCATACCTGACTTTCGTTCACCCGGAACTGGACTGTATTCCCAATTAGCGAAATACGATTTGCCATTTCCCGAAGCAATCTTTCAAATGGATTATTTTTGTGTATGTACATTGACATTGAACTTTTTGTTTTTCTTTATTAAACTCTTTGGGTTTTTTTTCTTTTATTATCGAAGCAAAATCCTAAACCATTTTTCCTGTTGGCCAAAGAGCTCTATCCGCAAAAGTTTACAGTAAGTCGAAAAGGAAACAAATATTGCTGCCAAATTTGTCTGTTTCATTATCAAATCTTATAATTTAGCCAACGCCAGCGCATTATTTTATTAGATTGTTGAACGAAAAAGGCAAATTATTGCGCACATTTACACAGGTTTGTTTAAAATCATTCTTTGCTTTTTGACAATACCAATCGAGTACGGTGATTCGATAAATTGAAAAAAATACTCACAGCATGAACCCTACGGAAGTAAATGTCAAACATGATCGATCTGTTCCACTCGTTAAGGAGCATCCTGGTAACGTCCATCTTATTGTTCTTCTGGACGACATAAACTAACATGTAAATATTTTAGTCATGTTCTTTGATGCGTGAAAGTTTTTTTCTACTCTACCTAACTTGCATTGTCGATGACATTATAGAGTACTTTGTCGATTCTATTCTTTTTGTCACGATTTGTGCCTGATTCTATTGGTCAGTATGCAAAAATATCTGTCAAAACCTATGAGACGAATCTAAACAGTAGCTTTTCTTTTCTCACTATATTACTTCAACGCTTATTTTTATCATGCTTCAGAAAACGTGAACACTTGTCTTATTCGTGCACTTGACAAAGGTATTTTCCTAAGCAGAAACGTGGTTCATACCGCTGCATGAAATTGTGACACGAATTTCTACTACTGTCGTCTTGAAAATTGGTTCTCTTTGGTTTTAGAATATCGATTCTTTGGAACGAATTGCTGGTATACCACCAGACAAAATTGTCGAAGCTCATGGAACATTTTTCACTGCGCACTGTTTGAATTGCCGCAAGGAATACTCATTGGAACAGGTTAAAGGTTTGTCTATGAGTTTCGGCGACGATTCACAGAAAGGCATTTTAGAATATTTTTCAGTCTTTAATAAAAGAAAATTTTCATGAATTTTCTCGAAATATCTATTAATCGAAATCATGATGTACTTCGAACAGACTTGATATCCAATTGACAAACGTGTACTAGACCGAGCAATTAGTCGGTTACTGACTGTCCGATTTTCACCGTTTTTTTTCGCAACTTTTTAGGCCACTGAAAGTAGTCATTTTTGATATATTTATCGATTTTTCACGATGTTAACTGTCCAGAAATATGAGCGTGAAAGTTTCCAAGAGACAAATTTCTAGACATCATTAATATTGCAACTCGAAGTTTTGAATTCGTACTTTGTCAAAGTACAATAAGGGCCTTAGATCATGCTGAATGTATTTAATATGATTAGAAAAAGTTAGCCAATCAATAGAAGTTAAGTTGAGTATAAACTAAACAGTTTCAACCTTGAAATATCAAGATCATTTTAGGTAGGCTGCTTTTAACCAACTGTCAAAAACTCTCAATGGGTAGCAGTTTTTGTTCTAGCTTTCATTATATAAATATCAAAAAATAACGGGTGCGACAGAATAAATTGCCGCCTTTTGTATTTTATTTTTTCATCATATAGGGTGTTTTATTAAAAAGCAAAATATACCACAGGATGCAGCGTGAAAAGCTCTACAATTTACACAAGATCACTTATTTTATAGTTGCAATTTTTGTTTTTAAAATGAATAAAGTTTTGAGTGATCAAATATCGACACTGCTCAAAAATCATTTTTTCTTATCTCATGTTATCTCATCTTTTTATCACCTAATGTTTTCAATAAAAAAAAAAAAAATATATATCACAAGATGCACCATGAAAAGCTTTACAATTTACAAAGAAGAATTTCTTTAAATAAAAAAAAAAAAAAGGAATGTCTCATTCGTGTCGAAAGGATGATTTTTTCGCAGTGTCAAATATTGGTCGCACAGAGTTTTGCTTTTTTTTTAAACGAAAAGAACACAATTAAACTAATTTTTACTTTGTAGATTGCAGAGTTTTTAACGCTGCATCTTGTGGTACATTTTGTTTTTTTTTCGAAAACGTAATAAGTTGATAAAGAGACGAAATAAGAAAAAAATTGTGTCTTGCTCCCATGGAAAAAGTGATCTTTGAGCAGTGTTGATATTTGATCACTCAAAACTTTATTCATTTTAAAAACAAAAATTGCAACTATAAAATAAGTGATCTTGTGTAAATTATAGAGCTTTTCACGCTGCATCTTGTGGTATGTTTTGCTTTTTAATAAAACGCCCTATATGATGAAAAAATAAAATACAAAAGGCGGCAATTTATTCTGTCGCACCCGTTATTTCGTTTTATTATGGAAATTTTGTAAACTGCTACCTGATGCAACTATAAGAATATCAACTGGTTCAGAAATTTGAAAATATGAGAACTGGTATTAAATTTCGAACTTTGTCGCTTACCAAATCTTCGTATTTTATCAATTCTTGTAAAGACATTATATCGTTACTGTAGAAAACCAGGGAAACAAAAAGCATAGATGTGATTCAATATCAGCCTTGGTGAAATACTAGATGAAAAGTTGTGAAAGAATTCTTCCTTCATTCTTAGTTTTAGCATATATAGAATGCAGCAGAATAACATGGAGGCTGTTACTGTTAGAAATTTCAACAGTTAGATGAGCTTTACATTGCATGTCTTGGTGAAGCTATATTAATAAACATTGTTTCTCAGAAGAACCAGTAGGTTAATTGATATATTTAAGCGAATTGGTTTGTCGCCAATTGTCTATCAACGAAGCCAAGAGTTTCAACCGACCAGTTCGGTCCAGTTGAAAAAAAAATCGTCTGACTCCAAATATGTTATCGAAGGAGGGTTCTACTTTTAGTCATTATCATGTGTTGCAATGAACTCTTGTTGTTATATTGTTTAGAAATTATTTTCAAGGATGAAATTCCTTATTGTGATGCATGCAAGGGCATTATTAAACCAGGTAGATTTCCCTCTCGAACACTGTTATTCTCATCCATAATTGTTTGAGTTTAGACATTATCTTCTTTGGCGAAAATCTACCACCACAATTTTCGGAATGTGCTGAAAGTGTAACTAAACAATTAAAATCGTCCTTATTGATTTTACTTATCTGTTTGATATATAGGACTTTCCCAAAGCCGATTTTCTGATTATCATCGGTACTTCACTCGAAGTGGCACCATTTAATAGTTTAATTTCTCGGTATGATAAACAAAATTCTTGCTTTTGTAGAATGTTCGATTCTAGTGTTGACAAAAATTGTCCTCGGCTATTGATTAATATGGAACCGGTCGGCAAAACAGTCTTATTTTGGGATCCGGTCAGTGATGACTTGATGATACTAATGAACGGTAGACGTAAAAATAATCTAATTCTTCCCATTTGCTGATTTAGTTTGCCGACGCATTGATATTTGATTCGCCAAAAAATCGCCGCGATGTTTTTCATAAAAGTACTTGTGACGCCGGCGTAATCGAACTAGCGAAATTGCTTGGTTGGGAAGTAAGATACTTCAATCAACTATGTATTATGGTTATCTTTCGTCAATTTACTAGCATGATTTCAAAAAACTACTGAAGAAAGAAAGAGGATTGAATTCAGTAGATGCGATGTCATCTGAGAAAAAGACTATTAGTGATCCAAAAAGTAACTCATCTCCTCGAAAGGCAGCTGCTGATTATATGGCGATGACGTCTTCACCTTCGAAACCGGCTAACAAGATTACGACAGCAAACACCTCACCCGCGAAGGCAACTGCTACTTCCACAAAGAGGACTTCTTCACCTTCGAAGCCGGCTAATAGGATTACGAGGACAAAGACCATACCGATAAAGGCAACTGCTACTTCGACGAAGAAGACTTCTTCGCTCTCGAAGTCGACCAGTAGGACTACAAGGACAAATTTCTCACCAACGAAAGCAACTGCTGCCTCCACGAAGAGAACCTCGTCACCTTCGAAGCCGACCAGTAGGATGACGAGAACAAACACCTCACCAAAGAACGTAACACTGACCACTGCGAGGAACATGGCATTCCTAGGAGCAGCAACAGCAGCATCTACCAAGAAGTTACCGACTACTGCTTCGAGCAAGTCGACTACTGCTACTTCAGCGGAAAGCAAAACAGAGAATCATGCGAAAAAACTATCCAAATAAATAGTTAAAGCAACTCTGAATAGATATGAAAAAGAGTCGCATAAGAAAACTACTGAAGATGATAATTGAACGATAAAATCAGTTATGGAACATTGTTCAAAGCAATCTGAACAGTATTCTTTCATAAGTGCCAAAGAATTGAACAGTATATCGAATGTTTTTGTAAAGCAAGTATTCGCCGCATTACAAAGGGGTGCTTGAATAGTTTTATTCGTACCTGGTCTAATTATCGTACGAACATTCCATACAAATGGATTAACGCAAACAGATTTTTCATACCTGTGATACCATATATTCTATTAATTATTCGAAGAAAAGTTGATCAATTCGTTCGAAATATATTTACGTATACACTTGTCCATAAAGTTGATAACAAATCATTTCGAAATAACCATAGAGAGCTTCTTTATAGTTGTCAAGTATGGCCCGCATTCCAAGAGAAACTTTATCCGTACATTTGGTATACGGTGAAGGCGAAAATAGCATCATCTTTTTCTTATAACTTAATTTGTATTTTCGACCAGGTATCAATTCAATCCCAGCTGTTTCCATGTGAGGTGCTTGCGTATTGTCATGTATGTGGGCAACAAAACCGATACCTTAAAAGGATGATATGAAAAGAATACGTTGATTAAAAAAAGTGGCCTGTTGATTAGAGCCCATCGGGTCCGGATCTAGAAATTTTTGGACCTGATTGGCTCTACTGTTGACAGGTCTAGTAGGGTGCTGCTAATTGGTCACACAAGTCTCTAGTTATATTATTTAGTATGGAATTTCAATTGGAAATCTTTGATAATAAAACTGTTTTAGTTGAGTGAAAATTTGAACATATTAATAGTGGAATCCTTGATGAGCCATGAAGTGTTTCCTTAAAGACAAAAAAAAGAATCGTACTTGACAAATTTTCGAAGAATCATTTGAAAAATTGATAATGATTGTGAAAGTTTACATGAAAAACTCCATTGTTCTGCACGATGTGATTTAACAACATCATCAAAATTTAATTGATCAATTCTTGAAAATTTTGTTTTGTATTTCATTTATTAATAAATCACATTTATATATTAAACGATGTATAAGCAAAAGAACCAGTATACAATCGTTGATCAGCACCACGTTTAAGAAATTGTTCAGGTAAAAATAATGTTAAGAAATGAACATGTCTTGTTAAATTCTCTACATCAAGTTTTTTTAATTCATTTTCAATTATTTCATCATATGTTTTAGTTTCAACAATTTTACCTTTAAATTCACTTGATTGAACTGAACTAACAAATTCTAATTGTTCATCATATTTTTCAATTTGTTTTGTTTTACATTGTTCATTTTGAAAGTTGAAGAAAAATTTTTTGTGTTTTTAAATAAATTTATTATTTAATAAAATGAACATACTTGCATATTTTTAACTGTTTCACGAAATTTTAATATTGTTCGTTCATGATCACTGATAACATGTTGTAATTGTTCAATTTATCGATCTTTCTACAAGAAAAAGAAAACATTTTGAATGAATAGAAAATAGAATTAACAAACCTCGCGTTATTGATTGTGTAATAAATCGATATTTTCACGTAGATCATGTTCGACTTCTTTAGCATTTTCTTCCATTTCTATTTTGTTATGAAGTAAATAGTAGAAGATATGAAAAGAAAAAGTTAAGTTTTTGTTTACCTTTATCCATTTCACAAAGTGATTCCTTATTTTTCTATTTAAAACAAAAAAAAGTAAATAAGAGAAACTTCCAAGATTATCAACAGTTTCTTGTAATTCTCGTACTTGATCTTCACGTGAAAGATTTTTATTTGTTAATATGTCAACCATTTGTTGAGCACCTAAACATGTATCAACCTAAACGAATGCATGATCTTAGTTTTTCAAGAAAAAACACACTTTTTATTTTCCATCAAGTCTATTCTCATTACTACGAAGCTGTCAATCAAAATCTGAGGTTTTTTCCATCAATCGATGTCACCTTTCGTGTACATGAACAAGTAAAGGATCAAGGTTTTAGCTATTTATTCGCTACTCTCAGAAAAAAAAACTCAACGTACCGTTATATCTTGTTGATGTATGTCTTCGGTAAACACTTACGACGGAACCATTCAAATCGATACCGCTGTTTAAGCTTATATTGAATCTATAGTCGCGTCCGTCGGGACCCAGCCTACATGAACATGCTGGTGAGACTAGTAGAAGCCGAAAAGAGTTTGTCTCCATGAGCAAATTATGATCATTTTATTGAATTTTTGATCGCGTTTTTGGTGCATACCGAAAAATCAGAACTTCGAAGAAGTTCGACATAATAGTTTACCCATGCATTTGGTTGAATGACTAGTAGAATATTCTGAAAGTTTCAGCCGAAAAGAATGTTCTTTTGTTGAGATTTTCAAATAGTCGTTTGCCACAGATCTGATACAAAAATTGAGTTTACTTGAAAACTCAACATCTCAATAAAAAAAAAACATTCTTTTCAGCTTAAACGGTTTACATGAAATTGATCGAAAAAAAAAATGCCGATGGAAAAAATGTCGAAAGAAAAATGCCGAAAAAAAATTGTCGATGAAAAAAATATCGAAAAATAAATGTCGAGAAAAAAATATCGAAGCAATTTTGACCGAAAAAAAAAATGTCGAACATATAATATGTCGAAAATTTCAAGATGTCGTCACAAAACAATATTGACTTTCCTCCCTTTTCGTTCTTGTTTTGTCTATCAAATGTTTATTGATTAGCTAATAGTTGTTTCCAATTGATCGTTGGACAAATG